CACAATTTAGGAAGAGAGCTTCCGACCCTGCCTGCCTGCCTGCCTGCCTGCCTTCTAGAGCCTAGCCGGGCTGAGAGGGATACAGCATCGCTGCAGAAAGACTGAGATACTCGACCAAACTTTCTGCCCACTCGGGAATTGAACTCGGGTCTCATACGTGCGACTGTAAAGCGCCTATAACTGCTACATCACAGAGGCCGGTTTGTCTAACGCGTTATGGTGAACATTCTATTAACATTGGTCGCTTTTAAGAACAAGCGGGCTAACCCAGATTTCGGGGGTGTCTAGAAATCTTGACCTACACCAAAGGTGGGCATTGCCCTACCTATAGGAGAAGTTTGGTTTCTTTGGTGCGTATATATTTGTTTGGTCGTAGAGAAAACTCTCCTTGTCTTTTAAAGAAACTGAACAAGGGGTAAAAACTATTTTCTCAAAACTATTTTTCGGGATAGCCTTCTTGTGCTTAAAAGGGATCAATTTCACCTTTCACAAGCAAGTGTACTTTTGCTGTTACTGCCTCCTCGGGTTCAGCAAGATTTACCTCCCTCTGCTGCTTCATTCTGTAGTGCTTTATGCATCATAAAAACACAATTAAACCGATATAAAACCATTTAAAAAAGAACGTCGAGGGATACAAATGGGAATGTACGGGTAGGCTTCACGTGCATGGGTGTCGTCTATTTTTTAAACCTCTTTTTTTTCTCAACGTTTCCAAGCGAGCTTAGCCCGAGTGAGCAAGTGAGTGAGTAGTGAGTGAGTAATCCTTTTTTCTTCACGTGCGACCGTGGGAGTTTTAGGGATATTAGAACACCTTTTCAAAGTAAAAAAAAATCTTGGAAAATTGTCCCTTGTGTGTTAACCAAATGAGGTAAGAACGTCAGCTTTTTGTGTCTTTTTTTCTCTCCCTTTTTTTGTTTTGGTATTTCAGTTTTTGAGAGCATGGCAGCGTATGTAAAGGTGTGTTGACACTCGTCCGATATCTCACCATGTTGCAGAATGCTGTGCCTAATGGCAGATGTCTGAATTCTTCGAACGTTTTTCTTTTCTTTTCTGAGTGGGCGCTTCGTTTGCTCAATCGTGTTGTTTGGGTACTCAGTTGAATTCGATTAGGGGGCAGATAACTCCCTCTGTGATTGTATTAGTTGTTAGAAAAAGTTTTGAGCGGTGTGTGTTGGGGGTGCATTGTTAGCTCAGGTGGTATCATGCTGGACTGCCGAGAAGAGGTCCAGTGTGACAGTTGCGCACGTTAAAGATCCCTTGGTAGTAAAAAATTGATAAGAACGTCGGCTTCGGCTGCAACCCGGGCAAACTTCTAAATTAATTCCTACCAAACTGAAAATGTTTAATG